CCATACTCCGCTCGAAAAGGAAACAAAGCGCCAAGTATTTGTTGAAAAATCGAAATTTTTTCCTTAAACATTTATATTACATATTGATAATATTACAACAATTAATCACAAGGAAAAAATCCACTGAAGAGCGAAATAACAGCACAGAAATATTCCCGCCAATTTTGTCATAACTTCGATGCGTCCGCACATCCGAGAAATCGATTTGCGAAGATGAAAAGCAATTTAGGCCCATCTTAAAAGTGATATTAGAAAAAAGGATTTTACTTTGATATTTCGACAACAAGAAAGAGATGATTTATTGGAAATAATTCAATAATATGGACCAATATGGGAAAAAGCAGGGATCTATGCGAAGTTCTTTTGTCGACTAAAAGTGTGGACATTTCGAAACCAAGACCATGCTAGCAGTTAGATTGAGAGAGATTAAAAACAAAGAATCTACAGTCTTGAATGACTTAATAAATTGATGAAACCTATGCTTGAAACAAGTATGGCTCTGTTGAAGATGACCTTTAAACGATAATTTATCGAAAGTTCGATAATGAAGGTAAAAATATATATTTTTGTATACAGTTTTCTGTGATATGTGAAGTTCGAGTAGTCCGGGTTCAAACATCGATTATTGAAASAATGTTGATTATTGTAAGCTTATGTAGACTACTTTTTGCCGAGAAGCGTTCAGTTTACTTTCAATCAATTGACCTTTAGTATAATATTAAACTTCATCCAACGGAACAAAATCTACCGAAGTCAATATTAGTACGAACTAAATTCTCATAAACATACTCTTTATGATATTTGTTCGTATGTCAACAAAACTGTTGTAGCTCACATTCCTTAGAACAGAGCATCTACCTTTGAAATAACAGTACTAGATAATCATTTTCAGCTTCCATGTTGCTATTGGAGCTCCGCTATTGGGTGTTACCTAATTTTTATATTACCTTCATCTGATTTTTTCCCTAGCTTTTATATACTATTCTCTCTTTTTCTTCATACTTTCTTTTCTCTTTCACGAATCTAATCTACCTGATGACTAACATATTATATTTATTTCTATTTCATGTTTACTTTTTAAGAGCGGCGGCGTCCATAAATATCGACCAGGCAAAGGTGTGCAAGATCGAAAAAACAAATTCTTTCAAACTTTGTCAGAACATAACTAATTCTAGAAATAGAATTCTTAGTTCGCTAGAATTCTTAGTTCGCTCGGATTTTTTTTTACAAAATGGCGGACGTTTCGAGCGGAAATAACAAATACAGAATTTTTAAGTTATGCAAATTTTACCGATTTTTAACYCGGAGATTGCGTAGCAATCGTAGAGTTATTGGGAGGGCAAAAGCTGTCACTCGCTCGCTCGCTCGCTCGATCACTTTCCTGTAAACTCGAGCCTGCGATGTCTTTGCCAGCAGTTATTCATTTAATCATATTAATGTATTTTTATCATATCTAATTTTTCTTTACTGGTTTCCCTGTGCTATATCTGATTGAATTGATTTATTTTTTGGCAAATAAAGAAATCAAAGAAATGGGTCATCTGGGATCTGAACCCGGGACCGCTGGATTGGAAATCAAAGGCACTACCGATTAGGCCACGCGTGCTAATGTAACACGATAACGGGTAGACTTGTCTTTTAACTGATGGGCGCTCGCCCGTGCTTGTCTAGAATCATCAAGCATTGGTTTGGAATTTTTGTTTGCCTTTTGGAAATGCTACTATGCAAGTTTTATATGATTGTTCAGTGTAGCACTGTAGCTATTTATTATCAAACTCATTAATGATTCATAATGTCATTAGCCAATGATATACTGAGAATCTAATCACGTGATTATACCTTTATATTGGATAAAAGGTGCAGCAAGCTCAAARTTGGGRGYGGCTTTGAATATTTTCAGGGGAGTGCGTGGCTGATTATTATTCAACGTTTTCCTGATACAGACCTAATTAATAAAACATTAGTTCTGTATCAATGATTATTCAACGTTTTCTTGATACAGACCTAATAAATAAAACATTAGTTCTGTATCAATAATCAGACCCACACTCCCCTGAAAATATATTAAAAATGTCTAAACTCTCGCACAATTTACTTCAAAGGGTCACTCTCACGCGGCGCTCTAAAACATTTTCCTTTGAGTAGCCCAAAACGTTTATTGAAGAAATGTAAAGTCAAAGCAACGTTCTTTTACAGGAATATTGTTTCTTATACTATTATATTATATATATATTCTATTTACTATACCCAATACTTTTTACCTCCAAATCTGTAAAAAAATTAAAATCATCAGAATTCTCCTTCACTCTTTCCAAGTTTTTCTCCGCGTATGTGATGAAAACTACTTCGCCTAACCAGGATATAAGCGTAACGATTACAATTTGTAATGTCAACACAGTTTTTAACTCGGAGATTGCGGTAGCAATCGTAGATTTATTGGGACAAACTGTCACTCGTTCGCTCGCTCGATCACTTTCCTGTAAACTGCGTTGTTGCCATAGTAACTGCTAACTGTCATAATTGATAAAACTACTTCTCTAGGGCTACGAGGACAGTTTCCGCTTCGAGTATGTGTCGACAGTTAGAAAGAGTCAGTGAAACGGATCCAGGGAAACGTAARCTTACATGAAGCTTCTCGACCCTAAATTGTTGTTGATAAACGTCTCGGYMGAATTTGACCATTTAAGAACTTACGTAGAAAACAAGATTTCAAGCAAATGGTTGTGAATATGCCCTTTGGATCTTCAGATAAGCCATCAAAGTGCTTAAATTTACTATTTTGTGTATAATTATAATTTGACTCGTTGTCATATGTTGTTCAGACTCAACGGAAGCATGAGGAAGACTCGCCGATCCGACTAATTCGTTTACGTATGTTATATTTATCCATGTTTGTCTACAATTCAAAAAATGTATTCACTCGCTAACGTACTATTACATTGTAWTATTTGATACATATAGTTTATTGTGTGGTTAGATATCGATAATACTTTCCGCTACGGAAACTAGMAAACACTTGTAGTACAATGGTGCCGTACAGTTGGTCGGGATTCAATCGAACCAACTTTCATTTAATTCACCATTACATAGTAAGCATTCTTAAAAGATTTGCTGGGAAAAATAATTTATAATAAAAAAGAAATAAAATCAAGCAGCCAATGGCAGCATAACTCGGAGATTGATACAGAACGATGGATGTACGATGAATCAAATTATAATTACTTTAATTTTAAGTAAACGATTTATGAAATTTTCTCGTTACAATCTTATTAACTTCGGCTGTATTGATAAGCACGGCGACTGACGGCGAAATGAATGCCAGTTGTTAAAAGTTTGACATCGTGGCCTAGTGGTTAAAACATAGGTTTACTGATCNAATAGAATTTTAAGTAAACGATATTTGAATGCAGATTTTTTCGTTAAAATCTTATAGTTTTAACTTCGAATTCTAGACAAGCAAGGGGGAGCGCCCATCAGTTAAAAGACAAGTCTACCCGATATCGTGTAACATTAGCAGGCGTGGCCTAATCGGTAGTGTCTTTGATTTCCAATCCAGAGGGCCCGGGTTCAGATCCCAGGTGACCCATTTCTTTATTTGCCAAAAAATAAATCAATTCAATCAGATATAGCACAGGGAAACCAGTAAAGAAAAATAGATATGATAAATAATAATTAAGCAGAATACATTAATATGATTAAATGAATAACTGCTGACAAAGACATCGCAGGCTCGAGTTTACAGGAAAGTGATCGAGCGAGCGAGTGACAGCTTKTGCCCTCCCAATAACTCTACGATTGCTACGCAATCTCCGAGTTAAAAATGATCATTTCCTGGGACTCGAACCGGGGCCGTCTGCACTCAAAGTCCACGTTTTATCCACTGAGCTACGATGCCAAACTAATAAATCATATTGTTAAGACTGGCATTTATTTCGTCGACTCTCGCTAGCCTCCGTAAGCAGGAGAATCGAACCGCTTGAGACGTCTGCTTACGGAGGCAACTATCCATAACCGAAGTTAAAATAACAAGATTTTAACGAAAAAAAATATTCGTAAATCGTTTACATTTGATTCATTGTTCCCAGTTCGTCTATACAATCAATCTTTGAGTTATGTTGCCATTGGCAGGTTGATTTTACCTTCATTTGATTGCTTGAATGTCGACAGGGGGGTCGCTGGWTTAACTAAACAATGAAAGGACATATGACTTAAATAAGAATGAGCGTTTTGCAAAAATTTGTAAAATAATCGTGTATTTTTTCCGTTCACTCGTTTTGAAACGATACGCGACTGAAGTCTTACGTTCATTTCACATGTATTTTCAATTATAGTATAACAATAACAATATTTGTAGTATATTTAGAAAGAAACTTCTGACTTTAGTCTAAGCCAATGCATATACCATATTTGTTCTGGTTTGATTATTCCTACCTTTCATTGTGATAACTGCTCCTATTGGATAATTTGGATCARCCGAGTAGTTCCCAACTTTTCCTGACGTCACTTCCTGCTTAATCTCATTAATGACAACATGCGCATCTCTCTGTGATGTGGAGTTGATCAGTATATCAAAGTCTACTAAAACGCTTCCACGCCTGAACAATTGAAAATTCGTTGGAGATTAAATGAGGACACGAGAGACAACGAAAAACAATTAGGAACACACTAGGYATTAAAGTTAGCTTTGGGGTTGTATCACGTGAACTAACTTTTTTTTTTTGCTTCAATCTACCTGATATTAGTAATTATAACTTTGAATACTTTGTCCCGTTTTGCGACCTATAAATGAAAGAATATGAAATAAGCAAGCCTGTTTTGCCGGCATTGAAAGATATGAACTAACCCTCTGTGAACAATAGACCCCTTGCATGTGACGTCAAAGCAGCTTCATCTGGAGGACAAAACAAAASATTTTKAWYCTCTTGGGAACTAGAATCCATTGTTTTGTCCTCCAGTTGGAGCCGCATTCCTATGAACTGCAAGGGGTCTATATGGCTATGAATTATAGTCTAGAAAATATCACCTACATTGTCCTCAAAGTGTTTCTTAAAYCTCAGAAACTCTGGTCCCTTGCGGTCTTGAATAACATCATACTGAACACTGGTCACTTTTATTTGAAGATGAACCTTAACTAAACGTTATAGGCGACAGGTTATATTTTATACAGTTAAATGAAAACACTCGCCGTAACATAGTGGTTCTTAGTTCAACTTACTGAATGCATTGTAGTCAGTAACCACGTTATCTAAAAAAAACATCGAAATATGAATGAAATTACAATTATACCCAGAGTTGACGGTTAGGTTTGATAAGGCGGTATTTTACAAGTATCGTTTCATACTCTTACTTTTGTTTCCGTTCATCATAGTTTTGTTCGCATTGTTAGAGTAGGATCAAAGTCACAAAAGAATATTGATCCACAAGAGAAATTATTCAATCGTGTAATAATCATTTCGGCCCTACGCCCGCTCTTAAAAAACCTTATGGTGGGCCTTATGGGGGCCGTACGCCTTTTCGCGTCAGGGACGTACAAACCCGTGTCTTCCCGGCTTGAAGTTCCGCGCGCTTCTATAAACGCTGTCATATGATAAAATGCTTATTGACTGAGTTGGGTCGCTGCGCTCGATCGGTACCACAGGGAGCCCAAGCAGTGACTTTGGACCTATAATGGTTAAAAATAAAATTTTACTTAAAAAAATGGTCTACTTTTATTTTATTCAGTGTCACAATGCATTATAGATGGGTTTAAAAAAATTTCCCCTCCATGTAAATATATAGTGACAAGGGAGGAGACTCCGCTCGAAATTCTCCCAAAATGAGCCAAAAACGATCGACAAAAATCCTTTTTTCGCACCGAAATTAAATAA